GTATTATCTCAACCTGTGCTGGGAGTGAACCCTTGACCTTCTAGTTAGAGAACATTTCATTTTAAATGATGATGATTAAATACATGGTAGTCTAAACTTTGTTTACAACACCAGTCTGATTTGAATGTTATTTAATTTTCATGCATTACAGTGCAGTCTGGTATTTCAATACAAGAACATGAATTCTACATTAATTATTTATTATTTTCTTCGCTTTCTGTTAAAATACTCACATGTTTATTGAAATGGAAATATTTAAGAGTTTTTGATTTAGGTGCAGTGTTTTTTAGAAAGGGTAGCCATTTGTGGATGGATAACCACATATTTTTGGTAGCTAATGATGTTATTTTGGAATTTCTAATGCACACTAAATGGGCTGATGACTCAGTGGCTCAGTGAATAAGAAACTTGCTGGCTAACCTGAAGGTCCAGGGTTTGATCCTGACATGGGTTGAGATAGTACTCTTAAATCTTTTACCTGATTTTCACCACAGTGATGCAGGTCTGAGGGCTGACATGGAAAAACAATCTTCTGGTGGACAATATTGCCCCTGAGGTCATTTTATGAGCTATCAGTTTTAAGCTCTCGGTCCAAACATTATTGAATATAAATTTTCTTGTAAGTGCACTATGACTAGGCTAGTGCTTTCATTGAGACTCGTTTCAATGCACCTTAATTCCAGAATTGCAGGAACTTTGTCATTTCAAGTACTTGCCAGAACATCTGGAGTCATTTTTCATTTGATCCTTATAGATAAGATAACAGTAATTTGTAATCTACAAGTAGCCAATACATGTAATATAAAACAGGTACACAAATTAAGCTCCTGCACAGTGTGAATGAATATTGAAGTATTGGTACTTAATACTTTATCTACCTTATCTATTGAAGAGTTATATTGTCAATTATGTCATGTTAACTTTCTCACGGCATCAGATCTCATCTTACCCTCGTAACTCAGTGTTGTTGTACCTATTACACTAGCTACATCCGTTATTCCCACTTCAACAGGATTGGCATTGTGGGTTTTTTGGAAGATTGCACAACAGATGCAAAAATTTGAGGTGTGTTCAAGACAGGTTTTTTTGAATGCATGATTTCAGATAACAATTTGTTTACCATAAACTTAGTCAAGATGGCTTAGCTCTTAGGTTGCCTATCCCACTTTGAGATCTTATGCTTGAGATCTTGACAGTGTTTACTGGTACTTGATTATGGAACCTGGCAGAATTTTCAAAATGTCACCATAAAATCACTTTGCATTTCCGAATTATTAGTTTATCTTGTAAATCTATCCAGAAGTAGGTAATATTCTATCAAATTGATGAATTCCAATGCTGAAATCCACAGTCCCTACTTGCGAATAACAGAGTAATTTTTTCATACGTGCACATTAAAAGATGCAGAAAAATCAGATTTACATAGAAGCTATTTTAGTGCATGTAGCCTAACATATTTGCTTTTCATGAAATTCGACTCCTGAAGTTTTATTACAAATTTTTTGCAAAGTTGTTCGTCGTATGACATAGAAAGTTAAAAAAATTTCCCAAACAGATGATTAAGGTCATTGTGTGTGCTTACAGTGCCGTGATATGTAACAGATGCATAATTCATATAATTATAACCAATTATCTTTTACAAATCTGAATGACATTTTCAAGTTGTGACAACTGAGGACTATTTTGTTCTCCTTTTTTGAAGACTTCTGTCAAGTTTTGAGGAAATTGATAAATGTTGTTTTTCATAATCGACTACAGATTGTTTTTAAAGTGGCTTAATTGTTTTTTTTATAATTATTTCAATTGATAACAATTATCAACTGATTCAGTTATAATAATTATCTTTAAAGTTATCATGTCTTCGAAATTTGTGTGTTTGCTTTTTATTGATTATCATTTTAGTTAAAAATTCATTTAGAAAAGAAGTGCTCTCGAAAACCTTTCTTTCAAAAAAGCATAACTTTCAGTTTTTAATCAAATCTTCACATATTTCGGCAAAAATATAGAGAGGGGTGGGGGGGGGGGATGGGTATAAGGGTGAAGGAAATTTAAATTCCACTTTATTAAAAATAAGGGCATCAATTTGATTTTATTTTAGAAAATTCAAAATTCGGAATATCGAAATATTTTGAAAATCACCTCCATGACTTTTGTGCAAATCATGAAGCCAAAAAAAATTCTAAGCTTATATAGCTTTAATTATTTTTTATCACATGATGAAATTTCCTCTTTAAACAATACCATGGTTTTTATGACAGAATTCCTTTCATGTGGCTTCAGTTCTGCTCTGATTACCAAATTTACACCATTGATTCCAATAATTACTCCATATTTTATTGACAAGCAGAATTTATGTCAGTTTCGAAAAATCAATTTTAATTTAGAACCAAATTGGTCATATAATTTGTTTAACGAAATTATACCTACTGTAGGATGGGACAGCAAAACTTTATTTTAATCTAATATTTTCAAAGAGCACAAAAGAAATGTTTTCTTTTCAATTCAATTTATATAAATAGAAGCTTCTCAAAACACTGACTTGATGATAATGCTGATATGAATCTTGTCTGTTTCTATGGTTAGTTTCTAAGCCTAACTTTGAAATACATTTGATTAAGAAAATAACTTAAAGATGGGTTTCCTTATTTTTTAGTTTCAAATAAGGAAATTTTTTGATTAATTGTTGTTTCTAATGAATTATCATGTATTCTTAATCATATCATTATGTTCTTATTGCATATAATTAAGAGTTTTTACCAATCGTATATTATGTCCATGTGTGTACAGTCCGGTAGACAAAAAAAGACTTTAACCTTTCTTGATCGGTCACTTATTGGAATTCTGCTGGTAATTCTCTTCTAATTTAGTTAGACATGGACATGTGAGACAAACTGATATTTTCCAAGTCTACTTTCTATTCATTTTAGTATTAGTATTTTCATTTTTATATATAAAAAAAAAGAGAACCCATCTTTAAAAATGAATTTTGTGACTTTCGTGAGAATTTGTACATCTGTAGACACCCCTAGAAAACGGCAAAAATTTCTCTTCGGACAAAAATTATGAATTGTGTATAACAACATCCTATTTTGATATTTAATAATGAAATATTTATACAACTGCTTCAAATTAAGTACACCTGATAACCCTGTCTATATCACACGCTTTTGATCCACATGTTCGAAATTTATTAAATTGTTTCCTTTTTGAATCTAGCATGTGATGTTATTCATGTGAATTGGAATAAACTTCAAAGGATTTCATCGAGCTATTCATATGCTATCAATAGTTTTAGAAATATGTTTCAAATTATATTATTAAAATTTAGACTTCTGCCATTTTGCGTCTGACGCAAGATAATGTCTTTAGATTCATTATTTCCATAATTTGACTTGATCATACTAATTTTTCTCTTTTCATGATTCTTTGACAATAATTTCTCCTTCTGCTTCCACTTTTGTTTAAATATTTATTAGATCTACCGTAAAAAAAGTTTCTGCTAGCGAAAATGAGCAACATCGTGCAGTGATCAATGCAGGGAATTATGCATTGATTTCTATGGAATCCCTGACTTTTATTTCATACCTTTGAAGCATTTTGATAACTATTATTATTAAAACTAGGATTATTTTTTTGATGGTTATAGAAAATATCCTATTTTAGTCTGCAGCAAAATGTAATCTAAATTCCGGCTCTTTTATCTAAAGGCAGTGAAATTTTAAATGTGTATCAAATTCATATTATTAAATTTATAAACTTCTGCCACTCTTCTTCTGCCTTAAATCAACCAACTCTCTCTTTTGATAATGGTTCTGCTACAATATCTGTGTAAATAGTTTCCCCGTGACTTAGCCCAAGATTATGATCTTCTGCTATTTTAAAAGGCAATTAGATCTGGACCTCCTGGAATGAAAAGATTCCTGATTTTCTTTTTCTTTGAGTCCAGCTATCAGGAATCAAGAATATATTCAAATCAAGATGATTTCATTAAAGTTTTGTTTTAATTTACAGTTGTGCATCTGTTACAAATTTTCAAAAAACTAATTTCACCTCCTTTTCTAGAGAAGACAAAACATGAACCCACATGAACCTCAAGATTACAATTACAATCTCCTTACATATACAGTGACACTGATGAATGCACATTTGCATATTGATATGCACATAAGTGTTGTTACTAGCTGCACTTTCAATTTACATTAAGGCTGTGAAGTTATCGTAAAGATTAACAACAATGCATATTTGTTACTTCATCAAAATGCCATTTCACACTTGGTCTATTGAAGTACATGGTTGTACATATTTAACATGATAATGGCCTACCTGATTTATTTAAGGTACATGTCCATGTTTAAGAGTGGTAGGGAAGGCTGTAGACTAAACTGCAATATGGCAAGAGCTGTTCATTGAAATTTGGGCAATACCTGATTTCAGCAGTGTTACTTGGGTTCCACCATGAGTATCTTGAAGATCTTTTTTTGTCTTTTGGCTTTCAAAATTTAGGCCAATGCTCCTTGTTCCAAAATAATTGTATCACAAATAGGAATTCCCTCATATAATTTTAATCAAAGTTCATGACCTTGTATATGCATTAAAAGACATCAATTTTCAGTTATGGTTTTCATTTTTTTTTATTTTTACCTGATAATTTTGAAGGTAAAAAGATTCTAGACCACAATTTTTTCAAAAAGAGGGAAAATAAAGGAAAAAAATTAATAAATGCAAAAAAAGGGTAGTGAAAAATGTTTTGAAGTCCTTGATTGTATTCATAGATCACAGAGCAATCCCAATTAATAGAGATATTGATTTTGACAAATGCAAGTGTGATAGACATTTGAATGACACGTGTTTTTTCAAACTTTTGAATTGCACGCAGATCTAATAAATACGTGTGACTCCATTCACACTCAATTGTATAGCCATTTGAAGCAATACAGACAGTGAATAGAAAGATGCTTCAGGGACAATGAAACATAATATTTGTTCAAGTTGTTTGGACGATGTCCCAAGGCTGGCCTGTAGGTGACCTGAGATTTGAAGCAGGTGTGAAGCGATGTGACCAGGTACAATGGCCGCCCCATGTTTCTTTAGTCTGGAGGTGACAACCTTTCGTTCATTGTGAAAAGCATTAGCGACAAACAGTTAATCTTCTAACACTGTCTTGATAGCCACTTACACTAACTACTAACTAAAGCATGTACAATCTACTTGAGGTATTTGTAGATCATTAATAAAAAATGACTAGCATGTCGTATACCATGTCAGTCATGTGATCATTTTCTTTTCTCTTCATATCATTGAAATATGTCATATATTTTTAAAAATCTTTTGTGATTATCCTTAACTCTTTTCAGAATTAATATACGACTTGGGGTTTGCAAATGTACAATCCACACCATGTATTTACAGAGTAAGGCTGCCTCATGAAAGAGATCAAAGCAATGACATTTTAGCAATTCCTTATTTTGTTCAAGAAAAAAAAAAATAGATGGGCATTATTGCACATTTTATGAGACATGGTTGTCTTTAATATTAATAATATTAATAAGTTTACTTGATTGTGACTACCTGTAACTCTTTTTAGAATGACAATGTAACTATGAGTTTGTCTTCTATACAAAGAAAATGTAGGTAGCTCTTAAATATTGGTCACCCACACAAAGTTAAAAGAAAAACTACTAAAGTCAACTGATTTGTTCAAATTGTCAATTTGTTCTTAATTAATTGTAGATGAACCAGATTCTCAATTGTTTAAAGTGATATGCATAGTTTGAATACCATTAGTTTTATAAAGGTGTGAAATGATTTTATAACAGTACAATAACTTTTAATTACTGTATTCTAACTAAATTCTGTTTTCATTATTTATTCAGAGTGTGGGAACAGTCAGATTTAATTAACAAACCAATAAAAAATGTCCGTCTGCCTGGGGGTAACTGGTCACTAAATAGTTTCTTGGTTGATATTTTAAATACAAAAAACATTTCAGACACTATTTGTTGATTTTTCTAGAAACTAAGGTTGTTATTTATGGTTCACAAACCACCCTAATCCCCTGCAAGACTAGATAAGCTTCTCATACCACTGCAAGTGCTTTAAGAAGTCAACCCAACTACTACTAGCAGACTACTCCTTGAAGCACTAGCCCCATTTAAACTATCGATGGATTTTGGTGTTTGAATGATTTACTCGAAAAAATTCATTTTGAACATATTGTAGGAACCTTAATGAATTATGAACATATAGTATTAACATATATGAATTATGAACATATAGTATTAACATATATGAATTGTGAACATATAGTATTAACATATATGAATTGTGAACATATAGTATTAACATATATGAATTGTGAACATAGAGTATTAACATCTATGAATCATGAACATATAGTATTAACATATATGAATTATGAACATATAGTATTAACATATATGAATTGTGAACATAGAGGATTAACATCTATGAATCATGAACATATAGTATTAACATATATGAATTATGAACATATAGTATTAACATATATGAATTGTGAACATATAGTATTAACATATATGAATTGTGAACATAGAGTATTAACATCTATAAATCATGAACATATAGTATTAACATATATGAATGGTGAACATATACATGTAGCATTAACTTCTACGAATCATGAACATATGGTATTAACATCTATGAATCTTGAGCATATATCTAAAAATCATCAACATGCATGAACATGTAGTTTTTATATATAAGAATCATGAACATATTGTATGAAATGTGAACATACTGTATGAACATCAATGATTTATGAACATATTGAAATATAATTTTAATCTGACATATGTTTGTATTAAAAACAAAGCATTACCTCTAAATTTAAAGGACTTTCAAGTGGTTATAAGTAGACACTATTCAATTGAACTATTATTTGTTCTTTGTTCTCAGTTTAAAGGGATATGATACTGTAATATTTTCAACAGTATAGACTTTCCTGTAATGATATTTTTGGGTAAGGATTACATTAAACTATGAATGAATTGGTATGCTACCTTCTTATTGGGTCTCGAAATACCTATTAATGCAGGCTCACTTTTCCTAATGTTTCCTTGCTTAGGAGGTTAAAACATTGGAATCTTGACATAATTTGCTGTGTCACTGTGGGATGGTGTGCGAAAGTGTTGTGACCTCGAATAACTCCATGTTCAGTTGACTAAGCTGTAAAAGGTACAAATAATCTTCAGAATAGTTCAAGAGGTTTTGTCAAGGACCAGTTGTAGAAAGGATTCTTATAAGTATGCTGTCTATCTTGGCTAGTTATTCTTTTCCCCAAAGACATACATTCCTCAAAATATTCTGACAGAAATTGGGCATTGAATCATGCTACAAAACAAGCTGTCTTGATGAGGAGTTTGTGTCCAAAACACATGCCAGCAGGATTTGATAAGCTCTTCTCAATAGGTAGGAAATAAGGATATCATCCCTTTAAAAGAAGATTGTTTATTTTAAGATAACCTTTCCAGACATTTGATATCTTTTCTATATTTATTTTGTATTTATTATGAAGGGGGCTAGATTAAATTCACATTTCATTTATCAGATTTGGGAGTTTTTCAAATATTTTGTGCTCTAAGGCTCTTTGACATTGAAAATGTCATGTTTATAGAATTGTAAGTTTAAAAATTCTCAGCTGTTTTGCTAAGTGTTAAATATCTATTCAAGTATAAAGTCTTGAAGGGATACTGGTATCTAAAGTTGTATTAACCAGCTGATAGAGATCAATTTCAACTATGTATATCCATATCCAGACTTTAGGTTCTCTTTAAATTCAACTGTTGTTATTTTCAGGGCATTTTTTTTCTATTCTAGCCGCATGTAAAAATGTTGTAAATGCCCTGGAAGTGATGACGTCTCTGATGGCATGATAGTTGGGTTTTAATGCTAGAATCAGACATCAGAGTTAATTCAGAGATAGCTAAAGTGTTCATTCTTTATATTTATAAGATATCTAGGATGATTATAAAAATTATACAATAAATTATATAACATAATAACACCTATTATTGTATAATAATATAAATTATTGAAACATATTTCAGTGTATTATTATTTACTCCCTCAACATGGCAGTTAAATTTCTGACACCACATTCAGTGTTTTTGAGGTCCATGCTCTATATTTATAAAATATACCATCATTATAAAAAGTATATTATAAAGTATATAACATAATAACTCCTATTATTGTATAATAATATAAATTATTGGAACTTATTTCACTCTATTATTATTAAAGATGTAAAATTCTGATGCCACATTCAGTGCTTTTGAGTAACATGCTTTATATTTAAAAGATATACAACGATAACAACTGATTGTATAATGTTAAGAAAAATGTACAATAAATTATAACATAATAACAAGTATTTTTATATAATAATATAAATTATGGGAACTTATTTGACTGTATTGTTATTAACTAGGTCTGTCTATTATAACCTAATATTAACCTCTATTGTTATGACATTTTAAACCTATGATTTTAACACTGTATTTAAATTTAGGTGTATTGTTTTCAATTTCAAAGTTTTTATGAGGGATGAGTGAAAAGTTTTGAGATGGTGATTGGTAAATGAAAATCACCTTGAAGATGACTGAAGATTATGATTTTGAATTAAAGGGTGCAAATTGTATTTCTGGATATCTTTCCACTCTTCCCAATTTACTGATTCCTTTGATTGCCATGAATGTATTTTTGGGTTAGGATTAGCAGTAGAATGAGATAGATATATTTTTTGCTGTAGCTGAAATTCAATTTGAAAACTCAGAATAAGTTTTTTGAGATGTTAGGTTGAATATTTGTAAACACACAAAAAAAATGATGGGGCCTGGAACACATCTGTATAATTTTATAGGGACTTTAAGGAGGTTTTCTGTGGGTTCTGCAAATGGTGCAAATCAATGCTATCAGTGTCCCTGATACATATAAAAAATTTAGAAAAACCTCTTTACAATCCCTTTAAAAAAAGATCGACTCCATCCTATAGACCCATGGTTACCCAAAACTTTTCAATTAATCCTCATATGAAATTGAAAACCAAGTTATTCTAACAGTTATTAGAATTGTGATTAATTGCTTTCGTTTCAACCCCTAATGTTTAACAGGAATTTTTCATACATAACCTAGTCTAGTTTTTAACTTTCTATATAGAAAGCTACACTAGCTACTGCTGAAATAGATGCAACTGTTTTTTGCTGCATGTAAAAGTGATCAGAAATATGAATGCCCCCACCACCTTGACTCTTATGAAAATTTGCATCTCTTGCCTATGTCGATCACATAGCCCCAAAGGTAACTATCATTGGGAAAGTTGAGGAAGACAATATGTAGATAGTACTTGGTATTCTGAATCACTAATGAGATTAACCTATAGTGTTTAGTTTGGTGACATGGTAAAAACCCTAATACATCAAGATTAAAAAAGGATAAGGTGTCTGATCTATGTGAAAAAAACAACTAAGGACCTGACCTATTTCTGCTGACATAGACTGCATTGGTGGCTCAGGGAGTAAACATTTTCTCTTACCTGGAGGTCTAAAATTAGACCCTGGCATAGGTGGTGATGGCACCTTGGAATTATCAGCCTTGGTTCCCTGTGCCACGTATTCTTTCTCATGTATCTTCTTGAAAACAAGTTTTAAACTGATTGAATGGCAATATTTCTGAGAATATTGTTAGGATATCTTAGTAGATAGCTAACAGGAATGTTGACTGCTGGGTGATTAGATGGTAAGATGAGGTAAGAGATGCTGCAGTACTGAGCGGACCCAATGTCAGATGTCAATCCTTCAACTAGAGTATTTTGGGAAGGCTTTAGCACAGATGTGGTCATTTGGATGGAGCAATGAACCAAAGTTACTAGTGCTTTAGATCCCTTAACAGTTGAAATGAAAATAGAGTTTTTTGGATCCTACTTTTCTGTACCTTATGGGCTAAAGAAGACAGGCAACATCATGCAGTATACAATGTGGGTAATTTTGCCAGGACAGCAGCATTAGCTTACTCTTTTTCCGGTTTCCACCTGAAAGGAATCTTTAACATGCACAGTCTGTAGCACACAGGGCCTCAGTTTATTGTCCCATCTGAACAACTAGACGTTTTTTCCATGTCAGCCCCTGCATCACTAACAAGGGGAAAGTGGGATGAAAAATCTGAAGGTATCATCTCGACCCTATACACTTGAAAATAGAATAACAAGCTAATGGTGCTTCATAACATAACCTATCCTACAATACAGAAGGACATAAAATCTTACATCACCCAACCCTAGCCGAGTGTGTCCATTTTGGGTTCATTATGGCCAATCATTCCTGGTCACACACCAATTTAGGACAGTGACTTTATAACAAATCATAATCCCTTTGACAAAATGAGACAGATAAATTAATATTGGGAAGATAAAAGGAATGATATGTATATATGAAGTATACCATAAAAACTGTGGTATATTAGACTATAATATATGTTAATAAGGTGATATTTTATGTATATACATGTATCAGGGTGTTAATACATACCTTATTGAATTAATAAGCTCACAGGGGGCAAAGGTCAAGTGTGAAAGTGCAATTTTTACTAGCCAGTGTACTAAGATATGATTGACTGGGGTTGTCTATCTGCATATTCTGCTTGAACTTACAAATTATAATGTTAGACTGGACTCAAAAACAGTATCCTAGTCTTTGTATTTAGTATATTTATGGACATCATTCCGATTTCTCATCCAAATTCTGTAATAACAGGAACTACAGACAGTCATCAGAGTTGTACAGTTAGCTATAATTCATACCACTTCATACAGAGCCCAGCAAACCTCTTTTGAATTCCTTTTAAATAAAGATGCCTGCTGAAGTAATATTATCAGCTGTTTGGATGTTGTGTAAGGGATGCTGAACTGAAAAGCTCAGTTGTACTTGTAGAGGGATGGGGTTAACATCAGGTGCTTCAGAAGAATGAGCAAACCTACTTCCTTAGCAACCACCATGGGGACAGTCCTGTCTACCAGCAAAGGAACTGAACCATTGCTATGGACTAAATTCATCATTAAAAAAATCACAACAATGCCAAAAACAGAAAATTATTGCTGAAATTCTGTTAGTTAAATAGACATACACATATTGCTTTTGACCCAATGATAGTCATTTCAAATTTTTTGAGAATCTTTGAAACACTGCAAATGTAATAGTCCAACAGCAGAGGCTTTGGCCTAATCCATATAGACTAAATTTATCATTACATAAACCATAACTTAGCTGAAAATCAAAAACTTCTTTGTCAGAATTCAGTCAAGTTGTGTCAAGACATATGCATATTGCATTTGACCCAACAATAATAATTTTCAAATTTTAGAAAAACTGCAACTGTTATATTATTTGTGGAGAAAACATGTTATGCAATAAGACATCATATGATTTTGTGTAAAATAAACAAAATGTATTCTGGCACATATTTTGGTGTTATAAAAAGCGTCTTAACATCTGAAATTCAGATTACTATATTCCCTGCCAAATTATCACCCAGATATAATTATAATATGTTTATATTTTCTCAAGTTATAATAATAAATGTTGATGTAATTTGTATCATGGTATTGAGTTTAATGTCTGTATTCTTATAGTGATATGTATTTCTTAAAGAGATACTAAATATTGCTTTCCCCAACTCAATTTCTCAC